TATGAATTTCATAAAAATAAAACAATAAAACAACGAAAGGACCTCAAGATGATGGCGGATCTTGTATGCTTTCAATCATTTTTCAGTTTCGAAGGTAAAATTTTTAAACAGTTAAGGGGGGGTCCTGATGGGCAGCCCAATGTCTGGCCTGCTCTGTGAGTTAGTGGTGAGAAAAATGGAGTGTTCTGCATGTATCAACTATAATGAAGACATAATCCTATACAAAAGATACGTTGATGATGTGCTAATTGTATGGAAGAACGACACAAAGATACAACAATTCTTGAGCCAAATGAATTCCAACCAGCATGGTTTAAAACTGAACCTAAAACAGATTAGTAGCAAAGAACTACATTTCTTGGACATTAACATTGAATTTAGGAATGGATCAACGTATACAAAGGTGTATATTAAGCCTACTCATGATCCGATATATATACCAGCGACATCTAATGATCCAACTGTATAAAAACTCTCTGCCTTTAGGGCGCTAATCAGAAGAGCGTTTCTGTATTGCTCCAACGTGATAGACATGATAGAGGAAATGAATAGAATTAAAGAAGTGGTGAAAGGGTTGGGATTTGGAACAAGATCTGTAGAGCGTCTAATTACTGCGTACAACGATCCTAGAAAGAGCAAAAAGAAAAAACCAGAGGGAAGCAGCAACATCACAAAATTTACATATAATAAACGTCTATTCCCAGTTATGAAAGAAATCACGAACTACAAAAACACCAATATAGTATACAAAAGAGCTCCCCACAGTATATACGTTGCTCAGAAACGACAAAGAAAAAATTAATGAAAAAGGACAAGCAGGAGTATATGCAATACCGTACAAGAATGACCAATTAGGAATAGATAAAGAATATATAGGAGTCACTAATAGAAACCTTAGCGTGAGGATGAAGGAGCATAAGTATGACGTTGCAAAGAGCCAAGATGCAACAGCATTATCAAAAATAGCGCACACAGATGGATCAATAGTTAAATGGGAGGAGGCAGAATCATTACAAAGGTACACTCGCCAACACTTGCATCCACAACAGAGAAGTGTGAGATCTACAGATCCAGCTTGACGGATAAATGTTTAAACTATAAGGATGCAACCATTTTACCGTCGGCATGGAAATACAATCAGAAAAAACTCGTAGGATGATACATCCACCAGGCTCAATGAAAACCTGTGTTAATATATAAAAATTGTTTACATATTGTATTGCAAAAAGTTACCGTATTTTGTATTCCTTTTTATATTATTTTGTTTTTTGTATTTATTGTATTAATTTCGTTATGCTTGTCTATGTAATTTAATTTCAACATATGTTCTAATATAATTTAAATTTGAACGTGTTCGATAATGGCTCGGATTCGAACGTCTTTAACCTGATGATGGCCCATGAAATGGGTTGAAAATGTTTGTTTAGCTGAATAAATGTGCGTTCTCAGTATTAAGGTGTGTTGACTGTATATTGTTAAAGATTCTTAGTGAGAATAGGAGATGTTATATTATCTACATTTATATTAAAAGCAAAATGTTCTGTCATTGCCAACTGAAACCTGAAACCAAAACAATCACTTTACAAAGAAGTGCTATAAATAGAGACTTAACTCTGATTTAGTTATATTTCATCCAGGCAGTCAATGAAGACTGACAAATACTTTAGCCATATTTTCCAGAATATTATGTTTCAATTGCTTTGATTTTTACTTTTGGTGTAAAGGCCAGTTTTAATTATTATTTTTAGCTTTAGTTAACAGGCTACATAGTTACATATAAATATAGATGAATACCCAGTGCACCGATATTCCCCCAAGACAAGCTGGACATGCTGGCTTATCAAGTTTGCTGTCATACCAGATGCTGTGTTAATGGAATTTCACTGTAATAGATTTCTAAAGGACATTAAAAATGAGTAGTCCTCTAGCAAAACATATTAGATTAACTCTGTTGTAAAATTATATAAGTCAGAATGTACAGTACCTTATACATTACTTGTCCAGAACATCAATATGAGAGAACTTGGTGGGGGACTTAAATTCTTAGACTTTAATTCAGTTAACTTCATGGGTGCTTGCACCAACCAAGCCTACATGAGAGCAACCACCATTAAAGACCATAGTAGCAAAGTTTCATGGTGGAATCTGGAGT